AATACACTTTTTTTTTTTTTTTTTTTTTTTTTTTTGGTACCGGGGATTGAACTCAGGTCTTTGCGCTTGCAAGGCAGGCCACCAAACCGCTGAGCTAAATCCCCGGCCCTCAACATTCTAATATGGAATTTGACTGCAAGGTAGACATCTTCATTTTCTTTTTATGTACCAAAAGGAAATTCCCCCAACCAATGCCAGTTTCTCACAGAGAGCACATAGATTGGTAAGAAAAAGAACTGGAATAACATCTTGTCTTTTTCCACCAGAATACTTAACCACTGCCTCTACTATAGCCAAGGAGACTGCAAAAGGTATGTATAGACTGGGCAGTTGCATGTAGAATGTGTGTGTGTGTGGTCCCTCTAGAAAATGGGATTCACATGCATAAAAGCCGACACAAGGATGCTACTTTCCTGAGATTTCTGCAAGACTTCAGAAGCTAGGCAATCAAGGTTTGGCTTTGCTCACCATATATATTCTTCCTGACTTCCACTCCCATCTTCTGGAGTCAGGGAAAATATTCTCATCCCCAGTTAGAGACTAGTATCTTAGTCTCTTACCTAATGTGTGAGGGAGAAAAATCCTCTAAGACCTTCTAGGTTAGGCATGAAAAGATTGTAGCACATGCATGGATTCCCACAGAGAAAATGCTAGAAAAAACTAGATGGTTTTCAACAGTTTTTTAGTTTTGCCTCTTTTCCTTTCATCCATAGAATACCAAACAGTTGAAGTTTTGGAATTAACCATTTCTGACATTTGAGAAAATAGAGATTATTGTCCTTTGTAATCTAGGCCCATGTTGTGCTTTAATTGTCCATTCTATTTGTAACTGGACTAGGAAATTTTCAAAAGGTTTATGCTAGTGAAAAGGGATATAAGAGAATATCCATTTACTCTGAGGGTTTTGGGCTATGTTTGGAGAAGTGTCAAAGATCTGCCTTAGCATCTTATAAACTATTAACCAGGGACTCTCCTGAGTACATCCTGGAGGAGTTAGGGAGAGGTAAAATAAGCTTCTGTGGATTAGATTCAGACTTCATCTCCCTCAACCTAAGCAGTCATTATTTTAGTAAAACTTTACATGTATACATGTGTTTCTATACACATGTGCTTCTGCATACATACACATTTATGTGTATATTTATATGCATACATATATATTTTTTGTGTACACATACATAATTTTTCACTTGTTAAGAAGGTTCTACAATTGGGAACAACCCTCAAAATTATTAGTCTAATAAATCTCAGTAATTTTCTACATGAGAAGCTAAGAAATAAAAAATGAATTGCCAGGAGAATAGTAAGTGATAGAATGTGAACTCATCCTATTTAGATGGACTTATTTATCCAGGAGATGACTGCAAATGGTAACACTTTAGAGTACTTCCCATCCTTGGGTACCCGTTTTTTCTCTCCCCCCATTTCAGCAGCAATTCTAGGAGACACTGGAGATGGCAACATGAAGATGCTGGGCATACAGATCCCTATAAAACATGTTGAGATACTAACTTCTGTTTTAACTGCCATGGGCATCATCCTCCTACTTGTTGCTCTGGCTCTTGGTGGTGTGGTCTGGTACCAGCATCGGCAAAAGAAGCTACGACGTAACAGAAGATCAATCTTGGATGATAACTTCAAACTTCTCTCTCTCAAGCAGTTATAAATGATGCCTAGAGGTATTCCCAAGAAGCACACATGGAATGTACACAAAGGCTTTCAATGTGTCAAAGACTAACAGCTAACTAATGTCAAAGGGTCATGGGTGGTGAAGAGACAAAGACCAGAATCAAAATTATTTAGGTATTTCTCCATTTATTTATTTATATGGAAATTGTGTGCTCTCATTCTCTCTATAGTTTCTTTGCTACACTTTGGCATCTGGGACTGAGAATGTACCCCCCTGGTATACTATACCATGAATTTCAACAGCTAAGTCAAATCTAAGGAAAAACTCATTAATTAGAATTCTCCTGCTTTCCAGGATCTAGGCAAGTTCAATCTAATGAAGATAACACACAACTAAAATAAAGATTTAGAATATAGACATGATGGTGAGTTGGACGTAGGGTGGGAATTAGGAATCCAAATTATATTTTTAGTTTCTTTGGTAAAGGAGTGTTCTGGAACAGTGAGTGGATAGGTTGTTGCTGCTGTGAGTAGCTACAACTTCTGGAGCCAGAAACACTTCAGAAATTCAGTTTTTTAAGTTTTTACATAATGGTACTGAAGAGTGTTAAGTGGTCTCTTCATGTTTGAGGCAGCAAATTCTGCCCATTAAAAAAAATTGTTAAAATACTCAAAGACTCAACTTGGTGATTTTGACTATCCCTGTGTCTTCTGGGAGATTCCTTTTCAAACAAACCTCTCAAAGAGTGGGTGTAAAGTATGGGTCTGTCTGTCTATTGTGAAGCCTGAAAATTTGTGCTGTGAAAATTGTCCCAGAGGAAACTATAAATATTATGGTGTGTATCATCTTAAAAATGGATCAGTCTCATAGGTGGGAGAGATTTTCTGAATGTCAAGAAAAATTGTCAGAGAGAGAGAGACAAGCATGAGACAAGATTCACACCTGTCTTCTAGGCAAGGAGAGTTGGTAACATATTTGCTCAGCATATATAGTCTCAGCTGACCCTTTTTACCTATGGAAACATTTGAGAGGTCTACTCACTACCTTGTTATCTTTCTGTAGGACAAAGTAATGCCTTCTGGTACCTTAGAGCAGCATTTCTTTGTCATCTGCTCGTTTGAACCTCTTTGAAACCTTGAACAGAGAGCACATACATGAGATGGAATAGGCAAGGGGTAAGATGCTCTCCCCTGCACTGCAGTGTCCATAATATTGTACCAGAACAGCAGCAGCAGCATCTGGGACTGTAATGACAATACCAGAAATATATAATACTTGACACATTACAGAGCATTCTAACTCCTGATTGAATTTGACTTACGTCCATTCTGTTAGAGTGCTCTCCCATTTTACATGTGAAAAAACAAAGATTCATGGAGATTACATAATTTTTACCCGAGACTACTCAACTAGAAGTTGAGCAGGGGTTCAAACACTCATCTATTTGACTCCAAACACCTGTTCCATCCTCCTTCAGCTTGGAAATCTCCACTGATCTCCATCCTTCTTGCTTATATTGATTTTTACTTTGTTGCCTGTTCAGCAACTTTTTTGCTTAATTAGCTGCCCTTGCAGAACCCACAGAGTTGATGTTCAGCTTCACTGTAGTGAAGGTTAGAGGGGAAAACAGTCCAGAAACTATTATTCATCTTGTTTTACCCTAGTATGTTTCTGGAAAATTTTACTGGAAATCTCAAAAACAGTGGTGGTGGAGTAGGGTTTGGATTGCTAGCTATTTAAGTGGTAGCATTTAGGCCACTGTGGAATCAATGCACCTGGCAGCAGCAGAACCCTTTGGCCAGTTGTTAATGTGAAAGTTAATGCAAACCAAGTGTACTCTGAGGACTCCAGTCAATAGTTTTAATTTACATGCATCTGGGAGGGCCTTAGCCTGCTTTCAATTTTGAATCTGAGAGACTAGGAGTGAGATACTATGGGATGAACTTTTTTTCTGGGTTTGCAATTCTGCTTTAGATAAAGGAGTGGAAACTCAGAGCCTATGTATTTCAGAATGAGATGTATTTTTGTACTGAGTTTCAAGTGTAGATGTAGGGAGATGCTTTTTGCAGTTAAGGGGCACTGCCATTTATTGAATGGCTCAAGATAGAAATTCCCAGCATTGATATATCAGTGTATCTTTGCTTTATCTCTAAAATATTATTGTTTCTTTTTCCATTGCTCCGACCCCACTTTATGTGAACAACTGTAATAGCCTCCTGCTTATTTTTCGCAATTTCTCTGCTGCCCCTTAAAATTGATTTTCTACATAGAAAAGTGGTGATTCACATATAGATTAAGCTCCTAGTTTGAACAAGATATCAAAGATTTATCTCTCTCTGATATAAACACACCTTGGAAATAATGTTAGAGGCAACAATAGAAATACTAAAAAAAAAAAAAAGAGGAAGGCAAACTAGATAGGGACACAACTGCTGAAAAAGTAAAATGGTGACATGGCCTCATAGGACACAACCAAATCAATATGCATTGTAGAAATTAGAAACACAATCTCAAAAACAGCCAAAAAGTAAAAACATATTGCCTATTTGAGAATATCAATTGAATGACAGTGGGGATCTGTCTGAAATTCTGGAGGCCAGAAGGAAGCAGAATGTATTTTTTAAGTGATAAAACAAAAAGACTATTAATCACAAGTTCTATATCAAATAAAACTGGATATTCTAAGGGAATTTGTTGCTATCAGAAGTATCTCTAAAGAATTTCTAAACTACATCTAAATGGAAAGAACATGGTAAAAGAAAGGAACACATGATTTTGAAGTGAGGAAGAGTGTAAAGGATCTTTCACTGACAATAAATCCCTTGTCCTGGCAAATCAGAGATCACCTAGAATTCATTAGGCCCCTGCCAGGAAGGAGTGTCTATGATATGTTTGACAGGGTCTAGGGAACTTCTAGGGCATTTCTGGGTGAAATCAATTGTGCAGAGGGTTGCAGGAATGCTGGGAATACTAGGCAGCAGGAATGCAAATAGAATGTGCCCTAATTATAGCCTTAAATGCTTCATAACAAACTCTTCCCCTGAACACATGAAAAATAAAGATCGGAATTCTGAGGTTAGGAACAAGGCTTTCAGGAGATGAGTATTCAAATTCACAGTGAAGGATCAGACAAAGATCTGTTAAGAGGGAGATTCAAGAAGTAAAGTTCTGGCTCAGTTTAATTCACTAGCTATTTAATAATCTTTCCCTGGCCTTTCCACATTGAATATTTTGATGTTCACAATTTCCCCCCAAGTGCTGACAGAAATACATAGCTTGCCCTTGAAATATATAGGTTCCTGCCAGGCATAGTGGTGCACACCTATAATCCCAGCACTCAGGAGGCTAAGGCAGGAGGATCACCACAAATTCAAGGCCGGCCAGGACTACATAGTGAGTTCAAGGCCATCTTGAACTACATAACAAGACCCTATTTGAGTAAACAAAGCGAAAACACCACCAGCAAGTTCTGATGAGGATGTGAAGAAAGAATAACTTGTATTCATTGCAAGTGGGAAAGTAATATGTTACAGCCATTTGGGAAAACAGCTTATTAGTTTCTTACAAAACAAAACATGCACTTAAACCGTATGATCCAACAGTCATGTTTCCTGGTATTTACTCATGAGTTGATAATTTATTTCCAAACAAAAACCTGCACAGGAATATTTATAGCAGCTTCATTTGTAATTGGTAGAATTTGGAAGTAACAAAAATTACTTCAGTAGGTGTATGTGTAAGTAAACTGGTATATTCAGAAAAATGGAATATTATTCAGCCCTAAAAGAAAGGAACTATCATAAAAATATGGAAGAAATGTAAATACATATTACCATGTGAAGGAAGTCAATTTAAAAGACTACTTATTTTAATGAGTCTATTATGCTCTGCAAAATTCAGAAGTACTGAGTCAAGGAAAAGAATAGTGGTGACTAGTGGTTAGAGAAGGAGAGATAAGTAGGCAGAGCACCGAGGATTTTTTAAGTCATTAAAACTATTCTGTAAGAGACAGACACGGTGGTACCCACCTATAAGCCCTGAGCTCTAGAAGCCTTCAGCAGGAGTATTGCAAATTCAAGCCTAGGCTGATCAACTTAGTGAGAACTTGTCTCAAAATAAAAATAAAAATGGCTGGGACTGTAGTTCAGTGTCAGTGCCCTGAGTTTAATCTCCAGTACCATACACATACACACACACACACGCACACACACACACACACACACACACAGTTAAAAGGAAAGAAGACTATTCTGCAAAATACTATAACTACACTTGATCTTAGCCAAAAGGCCGAGAAGCAATGTAAAATACTGTAACTGTGGATGTATGTCATGATAAATTTGTCAAAACCTATAGTCTATAAAACATCAAGAATGAACTTTAAGGAAAAGTATGGACTTTGGAAGATAAGGATGAATCAATGAAGACTCATCAATGATGGGATACTAATAATTGAGGAAGTTGTTCATTCATGAGGAGAATATATAGAAACTCCGTAATTTGTTCCAAATTTTACTGTGACCCCAAAACTGCTCTAAAAATAAATTCCATTGGAAAAAAGGACTTATATTTGTACATATTAGTAATGCAGAATTGTGAGATTAATTTGTGTATATTAATACACATTAATATAACATCATTTTGATTTGTGTATATTAATACACATGAATATAACATTATTTGCATTATTTTCATCACCATTTCTCTCCATTTCCTCCCTTCCCCCAATCTCCTTACCTCTCTCTAAAAGTGTATCTTCTAGTTTCCTCTCATCTCTCCTTTATTATACATTAATAAGACATTTTCTAAGAGACTTCATGGAAAAATGTTCACCCTTGATTACAAGAGGTATGTGAGCATGGCTAAATGCCAACTCTACTCTTCTTTCTCCTGCGTTTTGATATTTTACAAAGATAACTGTTACTTGGAGCTGCTGTAACTACACTGTGATTTCGATGCCCAACAGTAAGACAATAGCAATGCTGGGAGTGGTGTATGCCTATAATCTTACCTACTCAAAAGGCTGAGGCTAGAAGATCAAATGTTCAAGGCCAGCCCAGGCAATTTAGTGAGGCACCATTTCAAAATGATATAAAAAGGGTTAAGCATGTAGCTCAGTCGTAGAATTCTTACCTAGCAGGCATGAAATCCTTGGTTCAATCCTCAGTACTGGAGGAAAAAAAAGATGCTGACTTACGTATCCAACATTGTTAAACACTTGAACCAGTAACATATGTATTGGGTTTTTGTTATGAGGAGAAAAAAATTTTATTGATTAAATATTCTGTACCTCACAACTGAAATCATCCCAAGTGCTGCACAACTCAACTTTTTTTGATGGGTTTTCCTAAAAGTTACTACAAACACGTTATCAAATTTATCTATACCATAAGCATACTTTTCTAGAATCTGAACCAAGTCTAGGCTGCTTCCCATTCATCAGCCAACTTTCCCTTTCATGTGCCTACACCACCCAGGTGGGATAATCTATTTGTAGTCACAGCATTAAAACATTTTCTGCCTCATGATATTGTTACAAAAATATTATATATCAACTTTAATCTCCTTTGTTCTAGTCAGTCTTCTCGGTTGTTATCAATGGATACTCTCTAGTTAACATGTTCAGCAAATTTATTGATAATATTGGATAGCTCAAATAAATGATGAAAAGTTTCATTTTAGGATACCATGAACACTGAATGTTATTTTTTTGCCCTCACTGGTGGGATAAATTCTAAATTGTTCCCTGCTTGTTATCTTTCCATTTTTAAAGTTCTTGGTAGGAACATCCAGTTAGCCAAGGTTTAGGACCTTCTAAGACTCAATGATGTGTTCTCTAAATATAGGAAGGCTGAACAATCCCCCCTTAAAAAGTAAAATAAAGACAAATATTGGTTACATACTTCCTGATGAGTTTCCTACTCTCTCAAGATTCTCCTGCTTCTTTTTAATAGTGCCCCTAGTGCTCTATGATTCAAACATAGTCTCCCTTCTTCTCATCAGAATTCTTATTCCCTTAGAACATGGATCTCCTCCTTTCACCTTACCATTTCACAGTTTAGAATCAATAACTATTAACAGGTGAAGATATGATCTCAGAAATATTACCCACACTGAAAAATAAAGCTTGGTGTAATGATGCTGTAACCTAAAGCAATGGAACTCTAAGAATGAAGGATATATCAGAACAAAACTTTGGTGATTTTCTATTGTGTCTTTCCCCTTTGTTTCTTTCTCATGAAGTGTTCTAAAGTAGTATCCAAGTATCAGCAGTATGGGTCTAAGAGCTGAGTGAAATGAAGTTTTGAGGATAATTGTGTTGGGCTGAAATTGAGAATCATAAAGAAGTAAAGTTATATCCAACAATTTGATTAAGCAGAGTAGGAAATTTGAGGAATTCTGGCCCTAGAATGGCTTTGAAGATATTTTGGAGCAGCAGTGTCCAGACTCCATCAACTCCTTTTTAGGTTTCTTCTATGCAAGGTTTTGTTCCTTACCAGTGAGACAGAAGATTGGGGTGTGGCAGAGCTGGCTGGGAAAGTAAAAGTGAACTGTTAATTACAAAATCCCAGGAAACATGAACAGAACATTTTCTAAAAGCTCTGCACATGAACTTCTTACAACAACTAAGGTTTTGATACGATGGCCTAGATCTGAAATCACCTTGTGGAGTGGATGATACAAAAGGATAGTCTACATTGAGTTTTTTGCCACTGTATCTACTCTTGGATAGTGGCCCACCCTCACACTTTAGGGTGTACTGCTTTTCCTACTTTTACATGGCCCAAACTCACTCTGCAGAGCCTGTTTATTTTCCTAACTTTAATGAAACTTTGTTATCATTTTTGCTTGTCTTGACCTATTTTCTCACAACAGAAAGATCATAGAAACCACCTTCAGAAGGAGAAGCTAGCATCTTGGAACCAAGCAACATATTTGGCTTAGCCAACCATGAGAACAGATAAGACCCTTTGGGCACATTTTTTCTCACTTTCTCCCCTACAACAGGGAACTGGGAGATTTCTCACAACACTGGGAACTCTTTTCTTTTTCCCAGCATGTGGAGATGGGGGAGAGTGCATGGCCTCTGTGTTTATCCCATCTACTAAACAGCACATAGGTTAACCTCAAGTTAACCTCCTGCTTTCTTTATTTTTCCCCATTCATGGTCACTCTATCAGTATGAGTTAAGTAGCCAGAAATGCAGTTATGCCATTTTGACCTCATGCTTCTGTTCTCCATGATACTTTGTTTAGGTTTAGGTTTCTCACTCTTTTAGGAAAAATAGCTGTTGGTAACTTGGTCTCCTGTCTAAGTAGCTATCTACCTAAGTTTATTTATTAATTTGTTTTGGTACCAGGGATCGAACTCAGGTCCTTCTGCTTGCGAGCCAGGCAGTGGAACCACTGAGCTAAATCCCTTGCCCAACCTAAGTTTATTTCTTTTGAGCTCAAACTCCCATCTACACTTTTCCCTGAGATGACCATTTTCTCAGGGTGCTATCATAATCAGGGTCACCATCTTGTCTTGTTATGTGACTGGCCACCATTTTGAATCAGCCTTTTGCATTCTGCCATGTTTTATTTCAAGTGATCTTGTGGTCACCAGAAAATCTCACCTTTGTAGATAGGAGTTAATCCTTTGAGTTCAAAGAACACATTTGTTTCCTCCCTCTTTTTGTTTTTTTCCTTTTTAATTGGGCTAGATCCTTTTTCTGTTTCTTACAACAAAATGCTGGTAATTTAAAAACATGTGCAAGCCAGGCATGGTGGCAAATACCTGTAATTCCAGCACTTTGATGGTTGAGACAGGAGGATCACTGTGAATTTGAGGGTAGCCTGGACTACATAGTGAGTTCAAGGCCAGCCTGGACTATGTAGCAAAACTCTGTCTCAAAAATAATAATAAAAAAAGAACAAAACAAAAACAAAAAACATGCCTGATAGTTTGAGCAGAACAAAAGAACATCACAGGGGGCCGGGTATTTAGCTCAGCGGTTCAGTGGCCTAATCCCAGGTTTAAAAAAAAAAAAAATCACAAGTGACTGTGAGTCATTCTGAGGATTTACTTTTTTTTTTCTTTCTTAAAAAAGAGGTTTCCATATCCTCTGTTTTAAAACAAAATACTGGAGTTTTTGCTATGGGGAAAATGCAAGACATTGTTTCTCAAATGGCTCCACCCTGCTTAAGTAGAGATATCAAATGACTCAATAGTGGCTAAGAGAATACTGGTATGGGTGAGGATTCCACCTTGATCACATGGGAATTTCAAAGGACTAGGTAGACCACCATTTGGCTAAACCCTCTGTCCCTAAGGAGTTAATGGGCTCCAGTAAGGAAACAAGAAACCTTCAGCAG